ATTGTTACATAAAATGATTATCAGGATTTCGGCAACCGATCGTATTACTTTAAACTGTATAAAAAGTGATGTTACACTATTTTGTGTAACAGCCAATTATACAAATGTCCGATATGCTTATACTACCATAGCCCTATTTAATTTTGATCGATTTTGATAAACTAACGCCAGCGACCAATAAGTTGAAAATTTCACTATGATTTGATTGATTATTTTTTTTTTCGAATGATCTGCAAAATTTTATTTTTTTTACCCACTGGAACATAACACTATTTTTTTATCCAAGCCAAATATAGCGCTATATCTAAAACTTGATATACCAGTTATTTCTGTTATTACTACTGAAAATGAGACAGTCACGCTAGCAGAAGAAATTAAAAAATATAAAACAAAGGAGTTTATCAAACTTCTTGAGTAATGAGGACTTGGAACTTGAGTTTAGACGTCATGTATCCCGGGTAAAGTCCTAAACATTTGTATTTATTTTTCACATATATTAATAAAAAATTGAATTTTGCAGGTATATATGATAAGCGAAAAAAATATAGTTATGGAATGGGGTTCCATGGCTATATACAAATTTATATCATGTTCACATTTTAATCGAGTAGCTGTGTTAGAGCTAATACATGCTCTGGCTCTAAAATATCTGTTTTTGTGAATGCGTCATATAATGCATTTAGTTTATATCTTGAAAGTACTAAATTCAGATTATGGAAGAATTTCATGAGCACCTTGTTCCTCCAAGTTTTCATCTCCTCTTACTTCCAAGTTATTCCTATTAGTGTGATCAAGTTATCATTAGAATAATTCATTTGGATTAGATTCTGAAGCGAAGATTGTTTATTTTTTTCAAGGGTAAATAAACTCATTCCTCTTACAACCGCAGATTCTATATTAATAGGAAAGTTTTTACAAATATCCGCTCTACTAGCTAAGACAGATAAAGGTGGAATTAAGGCTAGATAGTAGAAGTCGGCTAAGGAATCCAGCTCAAATTCACCTACATATATGATTTCAATCTCTTCTAAATAATCTGAGAGTCTATCAACATATTTATAGCCTTCACGAATTAACTTCTGAAATAGATTTCTGTTTGAATCGATCCATCAGCCGGTTAGAATGTTGAGTACTATTTTTTTCGCGTTCATATATAATGATTTATGATGTGATATATGATTAATCGTTTACGATATACTTTTTCCACCACAGTTCAATTAGGATTTTCTCATTTTGAAATTTGAATTCTATAATGTAAAAGGTGCAAGAATATAATAAATGAATTGTCTTACCTGTCCTCACATTAAAAAAGATGGAAGTATTTGTGGCTGTGTTTGCACTCGCTTGGTGGGATGCTCGCTTTACTGGAAATCAGATGCAAATAGAATGCTAAAATCTCCATGTAGAATATGCAGTAAACCTACATTATCTTATACAGGTTATTGCTCCAAGCATTCCAAAAAAAATTATCGTCGTGCTGAGAGGGAGAGGCAACGAAAAAATAATCATAGCGTTACTCCGTAACTGTAAATTAGCGGAAGGTGAGATCCCGCATAGACATGTATTAATAAAAATTTTTTTCTTAGCAAAAGTGCGTGAATTTTTTTTACGCAGTCACATGATTTTTATTTGAGTAACGAGATTTTATTACTTAAATATAACATAAATATAATAAATTCATCACCAACGTGAGTAATGGATCATATTATATATACTACATTAAATGCTTTTAGAGAATCGTGGCCAGATGTAGATATTGTCCTGCTACTAAAGCTGAAGAAAGGAATGATATTTCTCAGATAAAAGCTTCACAGAATACTAAACCCTCGAATCATAATTCTGATATGATTGAAACGCCTATTATAAAAGAACAAGAAGCCTTAGAACCTATTTCTTATCTGAAAAATAGTACTTTATATAATAACTCATAAAATGACCTAGGATCGCGTTCTCGAAGAAACCACCCGCCTCTTGAAACCAGTTCTGTTGAGAATGATTTAATATCTGACTCCGATATCAAACAGCAAACTTAAGACATTACTAGTTTGCAGGATGTGTGTTCTATTGAAAAGGTCCCTTTGGGACCAAATATTTCTTCTGAGAAAGTCCCATTGGAGGATAGAGAGATGGATGCTTTCTTGGATGAAGAATATAAGAAAAAGGTTAGTAATGAGATCAGACAAAGAAATAGGAAAAAAAAGCTTTGAGACTTGGATTTACCTGCTACTTCTGATATCCCTTCGTCAGAATCATTCACAAATTCGCATCCTATCCCTAAAAACCCTGTCTTATCAGAACAAAATGCTAAAATAAAAGCACCTGAAATAGATATACAGCCTTTGATACAAGAATTGCTTATAGAACCTTCGGAAGAAGATTGTGTTAAGGTTGTTAATGTGGAGGAGAGTACTGCTGCTAATCAATCCCCTGCAATTGAATTAGCCTATCTATATAAAAAAATAAAATTTGCTGAAATTAGGACTATACGAGCCAAACAAGATGAAATCGTGAGTTGGTATTGCTATAGAAAGTATTTTAAAAAAAGACATAGTGAGATTTTACCTGGAATCTTAAAGAATGAACTTATTACGAATAAAAAAGCCTATGAACTTGCGAGTGAGCAGATTTATGATGAAATACTACAGTATCTTTCAGGAGTCTCTCATATAAACTTGCGTAAAAAAACCCAGCTAACTAAGCCTATATATATATTATTTAGCAAAATTGGGGAAGATAAGATTATGCGAATCAAAACTTATAGTGCAAATAAACTCTCAAAGTTAACTGACATGCAAATCAATACTATTAAAACAATACTGCGTGAAAAAAATTCACGCACTCACGTGACTTCAGAAATGATCATTAGTAAAGATGGTTACCGCAATTAAAAAAAATAGCACAATTGAGTTGCAACTTGTGACGCAATTAAATTTCCTTATAGCGCAATTAAGTTGCAACTCAATTGAAATTTGAAAATAATTATGGGGACCATCTTTAATCATTAGCGATGCAACTGCATCCAAATCTAAAGTAAGAATTCCAATTACATCCACTAATTCTTCAGACCCAATCAATTCACCGGTCATCCCATATGATGCTTGTGCTTCCTATATCAATGTAGCTTTAAAAGAATATCCATACTTATCTTTATATAATAGTGATAGATACAATGATGCATATGAATTTAAAAATTCGGGTTTATGTCCTGGATGTGAAAAAAAGCATACTGAAGGGAAGGTAGTTGGCCAATGCATAAAAGGTTCTTATTACATTAAGTGCCGATCCTCATCTAATGAAAAAGAAATCAAGATAAATGCTTCACCAGAAATGATTTCACCTCAAACAAGTAGGGCTAATCCAATTGATGACCGCTCCTATTTTCGCAATAAAACATTGGACCAATATTCTGCTTTATATAGAGAATTTAGTAGTAAAAATTTCAATTATTATGGCATTACTGACGAGACATCATGCCCATTATGCAGTTTAGATCATGATGATGAGAAAAGTATAGAAGGTATGTATAAATCTGGATCTTACTTTATTAAATGTGAACAGCACAAAATTGAGATAACTGCATAGTCTCATTATTTTATAATATATTCTATTTGCTCATGCTTCATTGTGTGATATTTTTTTAGGACTAATTATTTTGACTATACCTAATTTAAATTGATCTGTAATCATAGAAAAAAAAGAAATATGACTAAGTCTGATAAAGTATTAACCTCTGAATATCTGGATTGGCATGCCAAATTAAGTGGGTTACCAAGTGTTTTGATGGATAATATTTGGTCCAACTTATACAAAAAATATAAAAAAGAAACTGGAAATGAGTCATGGCAACTATCAAAAGTATATAAATCGGAAGTCATAAATTTTCCAGAAAATAAAGTATCTGATTTATCTTTTTTTTCCTTCGATGAGTAATGTCGGCCCATTACTTTTGAAGCTAGACCTGATCCAGAATTAATTATCAAATCCATCTTAAAGCACTTTCCATACTTGAAATTCCAAAATAGTTTCAAAGGGATTGATAATTATAATTTTGCATCACCTCAACCGTGGAGCTCACCATACCCTATTTGCAGTGGAAAACATGGAAATTATGGATTACATGGCTCATAGTACTGTAAAAATGGGAATCAGTTCCCTTATGATCTTGAATTAGCAAAGTTGCTATCCCATGATAAGTTGAAATATTGTCTTACCTGCAACACTTCAAGCAATAAACTCAAGTTCACAATTATAGCATAGAAGCTTTATCATGTACTCTTGCGCTTGTATTTATTTTTTTACCACTTGCATGTATTAATAAAGTACCGTCTCGCTTATCACCTGATATGTAAAAACTGAGACTATAACGCACGTCACGATCTTAAAGTTTAGCACTTTTTTTATATGAAGTATTGTAAAGCATGATTGTTGTAATCTGGAGTGACAGATATATGTATTAAGTTAGTTGCGTAACTGATAAAATGATGAGTCAGATCAATTTGTGCGATAATTGATTTCTCATATATATTCAGCTTCCACTTATCTTTCCCTTCTTATCCACTGGTAACAGGTAATATAACGATGCCTGTAACAATTCTTGGTATACAAATCATACTTTGGTGTTTTGATATATGAAATAATTCTAAATTTAAAGTTGTTATTGGAGATGGTAATGATATTGACGACCTCAAGGAAGCCATTAAAGAAAAATGTGAATATGGTTTTGCTTCTCACCTGCTTAAACTGTGGAGAGTTAACACAGATCAAAATATTTCCGAAGAATTACTAAATGACAAATTAAAGGATACGGCAAAAACGATATAGCGTAATTTTTTTCGTTTTCTCTCGCTCACACTGTGTTATATTCACTAATAATACCGAATACTTACTTATTTTTGTGCTTTCTTTCCTGCTTCTTATCATCAAACCCGCTCAAAAAAATACATTCGCATTATCTTAGATCAATCCGTTGCTGGTAAGTGAGTCAGTCATAATAATTTTGTGAACGCGAGTGAATTGATTTTTCTTTCACAATAGGATATTCCAAATATATACTGATTTTTTCGCTGTCATTTTCTCTTTCGTTATATAAGGAATAGCAAGTTTAACGTCTGGCATAGCAGGACTTCAACTTCAAGGTAATTGATTGTTTTGGCCATACAAGAATTTTATTACGAAATACCTGAATATTCTTTACTCACATTCTATCTAACTGCAAAAAAAGATAAGCAGATATGGGTACGCTATAATGATGAATACATCTCTATCAAACAAAGTAGTTTGGAGGACCTGGCGGTATCTAATGTGGATGATCTGAAGGTGATAATCAAAAATAGATTTAAACTATCAGGAAATATCACCATTCGCAGTGGGAGTGATAACTTGAAGAACAGTGAACTTGTCACAGGATTATATAATACGAAAGATAATACATTAGAGGTTATAGTCAAAGAAAATGGTATGCATAAAATAGTCGCTTTCAAAAATTTTAATCCCTACACATTGGTTTCTAAAATTTTTTAACTTATTAACTTAGATGATGATGGCTCTCCAAGCGATGAGAAAGGAGAAGAAGGTAAGAATGTATAGTAGAAATCTTTTTGATGCATTATTAAATAACTAGTTGATCAACGTTCACCTTATAATTCTTTGCAGATGTGAGTAACATTGAACTAGATCAAGTTGAAAAAGCATTTCGAATTGAATACCAAGGAACAATTCTGGACATATTCTATTCACGGCTAAAACAATTTCATAGTGAATGGCTCAAACAGACAAAACTATATGCCCTTATTTAACAATCATTCAAAGCTCCGGTTCTGGTAAATCACGTTTCGTGAGGGAACTGAGAACTAAGAGAATCTTTGTTTTGTATATCTGTAAACGTAATGAGACTAGTACCGGATACTCTGCCTTAACACCTTGCGTTCAACAAATTTTTGAAGCAATTCATAATAATAAATTTGGTATTCTTTTATCACTGGCAATCAAACAAATTAAAACTAAAAATTGGAACGAGGGAGAGTTTTGGAGTATTCAAATAAAGGTTGAACATAAAAGTGAATGTAGAGATTTCTGGAATAGTATCTTTAAATCGTTAGAGCAAGTTGAACTTTCGTTAGATTGCAGTAACAAAATTTCGTAACTGACTTATTCCCTGATAGGGAAATCTCTGTGGTTTGTTGTATTGATAAAGCACACACGTTGCTTGCAAAACATACTGATAATGAGACCTATTTTGTTCAATGGATATTTTGTTCAATGAAGGTGACAAATTTGTAAAATATCGTGGAGTAGATTCTTTAATATTCTCCTCAGCATAAATGGAAAGATTGGCAATTTTCTCCCTCCAGTAACAAAGAACACTATATTTGCCAGATCGCATGATTTTAAAGTATTTCCCGCATATTTGGATGTTAATACCATGGATGTATTAGCATCACTTGCTGAAAATGCTAATAAGAATTATAATCCCAACAGAATAGCATATCTAGGAATTCCCTTTGGGGTTCTCTTACTCAAGCGGATGTTAGTCTTATAAACCTTATTCATCTTACTTCACAAAAGATCCGCAATTTTAGCAAAAACGACAAAGATTATCTTGCCAACCTTACATGTACAGCCTGTACCCTAGCTCTTAAAGTTTCCCCTCGAATTGCAGAAGTAGATAGCCTGATAGCATCCTATATGGCAACTGCTATAGAAGCTTCACTTGATCGTACAAGTATTCTTTGCACATATCCCTCTGATCCCATTCTTGCATCAGGAGCACTGAAAGGAATTATTGAGGTTGGTTGGGAAAACAGCTTAGACACACTGTTGGAACTATTTAGTCGTGGGGTAGTAGAAGCAGGAGAAAGAGGAGAACTTGTTAATTGCATCATATTTTTGAAAGCATATGCTGATGCTATAAATAAACGTTTTTCTGAAGAACCACTTACATATTTACAAAAAGTTCCTTTAAAATTATTTTTGAAGTCTTTGTTATATAATGAAGTGGAGGGTCTTGACAAGCTTCTTAAAGATATGAAAATACATGATGCAGAAATTAGCTTTAATCATTGGACATCTTTGTTAGCTACTAATAAGAATTATGTAAAATCAGGGGGAATAAGTTCCTATCAGAGAAACTTATCATGAAGGTTTATCACCGTCACACTGCATTTAAGATGCCATTAGGATTTTACGATATTGATCATATTATTCCTTTCAAATACTCTGCTGGTTATGGTATCATTTTAATTCTTTAATAATACTACAGATATTACTTCTTTAGCAAATCTGCAAACTGCTTTTAGTGAGAAAATGAGTGGTTATAAGGTTCTAAGTATATATATTGATCTTGGTTTAGATGATGCAACTGTGAAAATGAAGAGTAAAGTTACTATAGAATTACGAAGTAATACTGCTCCAAAAGGTAAAAAGCATATTATCTATATTCGAGATGTCAGGTCTTTCAAATGTTGTGATGATGAAATTGGTAAAAGACTATCTAAAATACTTTTCACTTGTCCTTGGCCACTTCATATTCAATAGAGTATATTTGATGAAAAGACAGATTTAAAAAGGGAGGATGCGATCAAATCATTTTTGCCTCTTGTCTTTGAGCAGAAGGAATCATTGGTTGATAAATGGCAGTTAATATAACATGAAATTTATTCTAATTATTAACAAATGTAATATTAATACTTAACAGCTGTAAGGCTTAATAAAGTCATATAATAAAGCATTAATTTGTTCGCCTATATTTTTTACATTTCTAATGCACAGTAAATATTTACAAAGTGATCATGTATTTTTTATTTTTGATATACAGTACAAATTGCATACCAGTAACACCATACTATATATGCATACAGTGGTGAGTAAAAGAAACGCAACCACTATTGGTTACCTTTAAAAGCTTATAATAGGTTAACTATAGGGCTAAAATCATAATTTTATATTTATTTTAAAGCCCAAATCTTGAAGAATAACCTGATATAATTTTTTTTTTTTTT